GCTTTTAGGGGGGGGGGGGGGGGGTCCCATTTAAAATAGTAACACTTAAAAAATTATATGCACTAAGGAAATTTATGATAATACTTTAGAAGTAAAAATAACCCATTTCATTTATACTTCACAATTGATATGCACTCTGTTTTTTTATCGTAAAATATCTACATCTGCTAATATTTTTAAATTATCACAAGGAGGGAACCTCTAATTCCCAACCGATTTCGACTAGAGTTTTTTGAGAAGAAAAAAAGACTGGAACTTATTTTGATGTGGGAGAACCATTTTACTCAAATGGTATATTAAAAACTGAAGAAAAATTGTGGAATGAGTTACTGGGCTGCTATTAGTTCTGTTGGTTTGGTGGCAAGGCCATAACCATATGGAAATAGGGGATCATTTTGTGGATTGCCGACATTCATCAGAAGCTGATAGACAGTCGTCATCCAAGTGCGGGCAAGTTTCCTGTGAAACCATAGTTGCTGTAAGGAATGTCAGCAATCCCTTGGCCTTCAGTCCCCAGAAGCCAAGCAGCCACCGGTGCTTCCATTTTAAGGTTCGACTACAACTGAGCGCCCGAAAATGATTATGAAAACATTTCACAGATTCACACGCTTTAGTTATTGTACTGTAACCTGGTTCAATGGTTCAGATATTGTCAAATCTTTGCTATCTCCAACATACTCTGAGTACGGTAGTTCACCCATGGTGACAATAGCATAAGAGAAGTCATTGGAGTATAAGAATTACCTGTCGGTGTTTTCATTGTATATAAATTATCTGCTGGGATCTACAGTGTTCGTGACGGCTGTTAGTATTGTAGTACCGCACCCATGATGACAATAGCATATCAGAAGTCATTGGAGTATAAGAATTCCCTGTCGGGGTTTTCATCGTGTATAAATTCTCTGCTGGGATCTACAGTGTTCCCGACGGCTGTTAGTATTGTAGTACCCCACCTATCAAACAAGACGAATCGGATGAATTTTCCATATCTGGTTCTGAATTCTTAATAGACTCTTGATTTTATGTAAATTAAGATTTATGATTCTAATGTTTAGAGCATACCAACTGTTGAGTTTCCAGAATGGCCATTTCCATTTTATCTTCCATCCTTCACATTGTTCGTAAATATCTTTGGTATGACTTCTTGCCACGAGTATCTTTTGTGCTTTCACGGAAAGAGGACCATGCTTTAGAAATACTTATGATTTTCTCACATCTTCCTTGGCCAATTCTCTATGCTCATGTTTGAAGAAAATTTGCTCTAAGTAAACATTTTCCAGTGATTATCAAAGGGAAATGGGATAAATTCATGCTAAGAAGTGTCTGATTATCGACCTGACTTCCAAGTTTACTTACCAAGGATCGATCAGCCATTGGATTCTCGCAGTCCTACGATAAATTTGACCATCAATATACTCTCTGCAGAATCGTCAATTCTGCATATTGGCATCACATTTTCCTTCACTAGTCAGGACAGATCATTATCGAATTCAACGAACTTGTATGGAAGCATGACGTTCGAAAGATCAGACAAGATCATGTCTTTAGTTCACAAATAGATACCTCATATGAACACATTTTAGAGTACCGACAACGTTGATTCCAGCTTGAACTGAATAAGTATAGTTAACATATGGCTGCAATGTTATTCGATCAATACCTCCGAATCTGATATGACAAAACCCTGAAATACAACACACAGAAACAGTCTAAACTTACAAAATTAAGGAATAAGTTGCATAAAAAATGCAATTTATGAAGAAATGCTTACTTTGAATTTGAGCTGGTTCTTGAGGTATCCTCTGATGAGATTATAATTAGAATGCGTCTTAGGATACCATACTAGTTGCAACCCCCTTTTGAATAGAATCAAGATCGTCAGGCACAGGGATGTTTGTTTAATCCATTCCAGTGTATGATATTATTTTACTTATCAATACCATTAATTGTGCCACCATCTCCCACAAAGTGCTTCGCAAACCCTGTAACTATTATCCTTCTTGGTCGAAAATCAATCATATCAGTTGAATTTACCATCAGAATGCAATAGAAAATTCATTGATAAATCTTGAAGCTGCCATAGATTTGGTATCGGTTATACAAATCATTTTTATCCATTTTGTTAACATTTTGTCTCTGTGTACTGAGGAGAAAAAGAGCTCGACATGTACATTAATGAAGCAAGGAGGTCAACTTCTTTCGAATATCAATATGGATTCTCGCAATGCAATGTAACTAGTCTTTCATATCGATCCTTTTTTTGTTATGTGGATGTTAATCTTTGCTGGCTAGGATTCATTGCAAAATCTATGGGAAGATAATTTCCGAGATAGTCTATAACCTTATCAATATTACTAGTAGAGAATGAAGACGGGTGCACTCCCTTCAACAATCGAAATACTCTCTACAATATCACAAATACCATCCAACTGTCTCGCGAAATGAATATTATTTGGGAAACTTTCAAGTTTTACCTCAAAAATTGTACACATACCAAGTAATGGTTAGATTTTATGGAAAATTGTAATATTCGAGTATTTCAATAGTTTCTTTTACAAGTGGTCAATTTTGCCGAATTTCCATGAAAGTTGCAATATGTTTAAAGGACGTCTTCCATTGGCGACTTGGTGGTATTTCCCTAATCCTAAATGGATATAAATTAAGGGAAATGCTATTCTGCTAGGGTTAGGGTCATTTATATAGACACTGGTCAGACTCTTCGCATATAAGGGGGGATGGGTATTGTTTTTTGGCCATTAAAAAAATGGGGTGGGCCTCCTTGCACGAGAGTATTCTGGACTCTGGTAGAATAGCATTTCCCATAAATTAATGTTTACGCAATCCCGTTGAATTAAAATTTTAAATTCTTGCATATCACGTAGTTTTGTAATAGAGTTTTTAGTTGTTCCATAATTGTATGTATGTATTGTACAAACTTGAAGATGGTCATGAAAAAAATGAAGGTAGAAATTGTACTATTTATGCTGTTTGGTTCCATTCTTTAAAAATTCATTTACAATCACATTATCTCGGTAAAATAATTTTGAAAACGTGAATTTATAATTTTTTTTCCTACTTTTTAATCATACATACTTCAAAAGATTAATTTTTGCTAAGCTTATTTTCTAAAAATTTCTACCAAACAAGACATAAATAATGGAAATTACTTGTATTTCTATTCTACCATCACTTCTAGTTTAATTCCTAGCTCAGACAGTTGCTCTAATCTCCATTAATCTGACGTAGGTACCTACCTTATCTATTCTTGGAATTCTTCGAATACTAATTAAGTCTTGGGTCTTCATTAACTTCATTTTTTCATATATTTCTTTTAAAATGTTCATATTAATTATGTACATAGTTTATTTAAGAGTAAAAATTATCACGTCATTACGTTATTCCTCGTAACAAAGTTGATATTTTAAATTGAAACATTAAGACTTGATTGTTTCGCCTAAAGCTTAAATAAACAATTGACTTTTGATATTGTTGTTAAGAAACGAGTTAATGTCTTGAAGGACAAGTTAAAAATAAAATCTAATATCGTTCAAGTATCAAACCTCTGTTGATAAACTTATAAATCATTTATAAATTTTTATAAATGGTCAAATTTCATTTTCAACTATATATTTCAATTGATCTACAAGTATTTTCTATCGTTCATTTTTATCTACTTATAAATTAAATAGTATATAAAATCCTTTCCAAACAGTTTAAAAAATAATTAACATATAAGGGCTTGTGCTGTTGATTTTTTTTTTTCACAAAGTTAATATTTTATGACGGAAATATAAAACTCAATACTATTATAATATACTGAACTAGATATAAATATAATTCACTTTACTTAACTAAAAAAAGACTTACAATAAATTTGATGACTGTACTATTTAATCTTATAATTTTTTAAAATAATAAATACCATGCTGTAACTTTAAGATGACTTTAAATAATTTGTCATATTAATTGTTTGATTTATTTAAAGAAGAAAGTAGAAAAATTTTGACCGTTATTTTCAAACTCGGGTTCCATGTAAGAGAGATGAAGTCAAATATAGTGGCTGAAATTGATCTCCAACGATTGAAATTCTCATTTTTTATGACTGAAAATATAGCTCAAACAAGGGCGAATAACATTCCGCTTAACAAATATGTTATCTTGTAAGATGATAAATTTTTAGAAGTTCATAAACCTTTGGAAATTGAAAGGTAAAAGAGACAAACATTTCTTGAATGAGTAATGTATCTTGGGGAGTTATTTACTGCCAAACTAAGAAATCGAGAATTTCATTGTCCAAATCTATTTTTGGATTAGGCTAATTAGTCGAGATCATGGGTGGAAAATTTTAATTGGTATGCCACGTGGCCAGTTGTTAGGCTTGGATTAACCTAATGCAAGAAACGAATTTATTTAAGAAATGATGACGATCGCACGTATTAGGGTAAAAAATTGCTTGCTCTAAGCCGCTTAATTAATAATTACACAACCTCTAAATATTTTTCCTCGTTGCGTTCAAATCATGCTTGTAGATAAAGTTGGGTTAGAGTACGACTTTTCGGTGCATGTTCTGGAACATAATATTTATTTGTATTGAATAGTAGTACAATAAACATGATTTTAATTTCTTTATTTATTTTAATGTAACTTACCAAACAGACTTCAATGTACAAGTATGGAAAGGAAAATACAACATTAGTGGACTCTGTATTAAAATATAACGATGAGAAGTTATATAATATTATTTTTTATTTTTTATTTTTTATTTGGATAGCTGCTGTTAACAAGGTTGATTGTAGAAATTGGAACCAAAGACTTGCAGAGCTAGCCTGGGCTAGGCAGCTGCCTAGGGGCCCAAAAAATTAAGGCCCGTTTTTAAAAATAAAAGTCCAAATACTTTTATAACATAATTGTGGATAAAGTCATTAATCTCAAACAATATTAATGGATGTGCGAATGTCTATTGAAAAAGGACGAAACTCGGGCCCTACCTACCACTCACGTCATTGGCCTAGGGTGGGTTTTTGGCCAATTTTTTATGCAAGTGAGTCTTGCATGGGACCCACCTACTAAGAGGGTCAGTAGGGGTTCTGGTAAAACATCAAAACTGATTGAAAAATATGTGTTGAAACAGGTTGATTTCAATAATTTAGTTGTTGATTTTAAAAGTTGAACCCCAACCTTAAGGTCCCCCATTGCCCTGTCCCTGGAGATCGTGAAAGAGGTTAATCGCGGGATATGTCCCAACAAGTCAGGAAACAAGAACTGCCTCTACACTGGTGCCCACAAAGAGTCTCAATCCATATTTCAAGAATCGGACCCTCACACTGCGACTACCAACAAGATTGAATATACCTCAACATTGTCCTTTACACCACTGTGATATGCCCCGGGAGGCAATTTAGTTGTTGATTTTTCACCTATAATCGGAAGAGTAAGTTCAAAATGAACTTTCGAAAATATTAGTTATTGAGTGTAATTTTATTTCGACCATTTTCAAAAAGTTCCAAATAAAATTTTGACCTATGGAACATATAAAGAATTTGAATTACTCCTATTAATAAAATTGATCATATACAATAGAACGTTCAAGGGTTTATAAAGTTTGTCTAACTAAATCTATTATCGACACACGAATTTTCGACCTTATGAGCTTAAGTTAGCCTACTTCTTGTAACTTCTAGAAAAAAAAGAAAATTATAAGTGAAATTCACTTGAGGTAGAAAGATGAAAAGACCCACATTTGAGCACTTCCTGAAATAAAACATTAATAATTTCAAATCAAGAAATTAAATAACTCATTTGACATCCCAATACATTTGAAAATTAGGTGCCTTAATTAATAAAAATTCTACTTGTCTTTGATATAAGCAATGGGACTGAGTTGCAGAATTCAAGGGCGGCGTCCATTTAGGCCCTCGGGGCGGCAAGACTTTGAAGAAATTGTGGATTCTCGAGGATTCCTACGTTTTTTCTAAACAAATTAAATTAGTAAACACACACGTGCACA